CGTATATTGATAATAATAAATATTTCTTGAAAATGTCGATGTTAATAAAGCAGCATTAAAACATAGTCATATATAAAGATAGAAATAGAAATGTGGTTTTAAAAAAAAAACTTGACAAAAAATACAAATATTCTATATTTATATAATATATTATCAAGAGAAATATTATAGATTTGTGTATATATTTATATTTTTCTCAAGTGTAGGATATCTATTATAGAACTGAGAAAGAACTTTGAAACCTTTTTGCAAACCGCCTCATTTGCATTTTCTGCGCGCTCTATGATGATAGAAAAAAAAAAAAAATAAAAGACTAGGCGATTTTCGATAATCGATATTTACAATACATTTTACGCGATTATAAATATATTTCGTAATATAAATGCATACAGCACATAAATTATTTTTTATATAAATATATATGTATATCTATATACACACATTGTTGACGAAGTTTGCTTTTTTAAATGATTTAACTCAATTTTGGAAAAAAAATTTCAAAAAATTTTTTTATTTTGTTTAAATTAAAAAAAATATAACAAATAAATAAAATTCGTATTATATAAGGTTTTTTTCACTTAGAAAGTGAAAATGAAAACTTTTTGGCGTAAATTTTTAATTATACATATTACAATATATTTGAGTGAAAAATTCGACTTTATTGAATATGAAATATTTTTGAAAAAAAATACACTGATGCAATGTGTGTATGTTGTATATTATTTATTCCATGAATAAAATTTCGAGATTCAGTTTAACGAATATTTTGTAAATATTTAAATTCATATTTTTCCCTCGCATCGAGAGAGAGAAGTGAGAATATTTCAAAATTTCCTTACATGAAACGCGCGCGCGCACTATTGATAACCCGAAATACAAACATCTTTATTTTGGTTTATTTTGAAGTTCGCGAATGTTTAAAGTAGAAGTTTTCATCTCGTTTATAAACGCATTTTAAGATATGAAAAAAAAAATATCTTCGGTATTTCTTAAAGTATATTTACAAAATTACCTTTTTTTATATATAAACGTTTATTTTTAAAATTAAAAACAAAAATTAAAAAATGCTTTTCAAATTTTAAAATAATGTATTTATTGAAGTGATTTTTTTTTGGTAAAGATCTAATTGTGTATAGAGTAGAAACATTAAATTTAGTATGTCAAATCCTTTTTTTTTGATAAAAAACCGAGGTAAAAACTAAAAATTGTTTAAGATTATAAATTGAATTAAATTTTTATTTCTAATAACTTTGATTGTTGCTTCTATTATTCGTCACTTTCTTTGTCTTTTCCACATTTTTAAAAAATTTATTTAAAATAAAAAAAAAATTAAATATCACAGAATTTGGTTGATAAAAATTAAATTTTATTTTCTTTTAATCAAATTAATTTTCCATGAAATATAAATTTTTTTTTCTCTTAATGTTTGTACTCTATAGCACACATACACTTTCGCGAAGCGTATATAATTTTATAACAAAACTGCTCCCTTTGGACCCATTGCAAAAATGAAACGAAATACATCTTTATATTCTTTACTAACTCAAGTATATATAGTAAAGTGCTTTTCTTGTTTTTTCCTTTTTTTTTATTATACATTATGTACATAGTATATAGATATTCAATCATTTAAAGTAAACTTTTTCTATAAAATTTCAAATAAATTATGCTGACGTTGACCAACATCATTTTTTTTTATACCCCCCCCCCCTCTTTTTTTTGATGTGCCAACCTCCCATGGGGCTCAAATAGAGGGTAGACACAATCTTTTTTAAAAAAAGGGAAAAATAGTGGAACTGTACAAAGTATGTCTATTGAAGCAAAATGTAAAGTACCTTGAGCAAAATAGAGACTAAAACGATGGATTAATATTAATATTTATTTGATATCGCTTCTTGGCACAAAGGAGAAAATTCAAATTAATGCGAGAATTAATAATTTTGCAAATTATTATTTTAAAAATCAAATTAAACATTTTTTTTTTAATTTCTTCACTTTTTTTCTGATTTTCTAGATAATTTAATAAATTTTTATTTTATATTTAATTGTTCTTTACATTTTCTTTCTATCTATATTATTGAAAACAATTAATTATTTCCTTGTCAATTTTATACATAATGTATATATTTATTTTTAATCTATATTTCAATATATTAGATAAAAATTCTCCGTGTTTTAACATTTACTCTCTAAAACTGAATCAGTGCAAATTCCACTGATTTTTTTCGCATAATTTTAATCTAGTTATTATTATTATTATTATTATTATTCTACTATTATTATTATAATTATTATTTTTATTATTTTAATTTTCGAAAACTGAAAAATTGCAATTTAAAAACTTATTTCGAATGAAATTTTTACTGATCAAATTTTAAAGAGCGCAAAATCGAACGAATTTTAAGCGTTTTTTTTTTCTCTATAATATTAATAAAATTAATTTCAAAATTATACACTACCGTCCGAAATTGTGCGAACTCTGCTTTTTCAACAACTATAAAACTGTTCAAATCTTCAAAAATATTAAAACTAAAATTTTTTCCTCTTTACTTTATTAAAGTTAATAAAATTCTGAAAGAAATGACACCTTGACAAAGAGAATATGTTAATTTTTCAATTAGATATCTAAGAAAAACCCAATTTTCAATGTTTCTACTATTTTTTTTATTTCTCTGGCAAAAATTAATATTTTTAAACGTTCTTAGGCTCATTGAAATCGTATTTTGTTATGCAATTCAAATTATATAAAACAATTCATGTACACATTCTTCCCTAGCGTATGCAAACCGTGAAAGTTGGCTCATAGAATGTCAAAAAATTGTGATTAATATTTATATGACAAAAAATGATCAGTAAAATGTATAAATCTTAAATTTACTTACATAAATCAGAAAAGTTTAGAATGATATATTTACTTGATTTTTAAATATTATATTTTATTGTAAAATTAAATTTAAATTTTTTGACATTTTATAAGCAAACTTTCACGGTTTGCATACGCTAGGGAAGAATGTGTACATGAATTGTTTTATATAATTTGAATTGCATAACAAAATACGATTTCAATGAGCCTAAGAACGTTTAAAAATATTAATTTTTGCCAGAGAAATAAAAAAAATAGTAAAAACATTGAAAATTGGGTTTTTCTTAGATATCTAATTGAAAAATTAACATATTCTCTTTGTCAAGGTGTCATTTCTTTCAGAATTTTATTAACTTTAATAAAATAAAGAGGAAAAAATTTTAGTTTTAATATTTTTGAAGATTTGAACAGTTTTATAGTTGTTGAAAAAGCAGAGTTCGCACAATTTCGGACGGTAGTGTACCTATAGAAAAATTTTTCACACTGAAAAAAAATATTTCAAATGAAAATTATTGAGAAAAAAATATTTTTTTATTTAATATTTTTGAATGAAAGATGAATTAATTTAAAAAAAGAAAAATTGCATGAATAGGTGAAAAATTATGGTGAAATCAAACAACAAACAAATAAAATTAGAAATGTACATTCGGGAAAATCGAGTTGCAATTTTTTTCTCAATGTAACACTCTGATTGGTTAAATCAGGTTTTGTATATATCTCCGAGTGTCACTGTCTCTCTCTCTATATATATATACATATATGTATATATGTATACACACAAATATATATATGTATATACTTTTCAAAGAGAGAACCGATTGATTAAATCAGATTCTGTGTTTCCAAGTGTCACAATCGAGCTTACAAGTGGATTTTCTATTTGTGTGTGTGTGCAGACGAGAGACATGCGATATTCGAGTCTGCGAGATACTCGAGTAAAATCATGCACAAAGGGCGTATTATATTAAACGGATTCCATATAATTATTTGTCTATTTAAAATTTAAAAAAAAAATCACTGTAAAATCGGAAAATATTTCTAGTCATATTAAAAAAAAATTTTTGCAATAAAATAAATAATAAAAATAATAACGAAATAATTATAATGATAATAAAATAAAATAGAAAAAATAAAATTTTTTAATAAAACTTTATAATATTATCCCGCAAATATAAATTCCAATTATAAAATTTTATATAACTCTTAACATTTTCTATAACAATATATTGTGATAAAAATAGTAATGTGCTAATAAATTTTTATAAATAACCGAAAAATATTATAATTTTTATATCGCGAAATTATTTACATATTTTTCATATAATAACGTAAAGATAATTTTTTTTTTTAAGAACAATTATTTTTTTGAATAGAAGAAATGTAGAAGAAAATTAAAAAATGTAATTTTGAAAATGGTCCCACTGTTTTTGAATGTGAAATTAAAAATTGATTTTACAATTAATTATAACAAAAGTAATTTTATCAAATTTTGAAAACTAATATTTAAATTATCCATTGAGAGAAAATTTTTTTTTTAAAATTATGAAATATATATGACAAATTTTACCTTTTATTTTCGATCGAAACTGGAATTTTATATACATATTAAAATTTGTTAAAGCTATATATTCTCTAATCTCGTTTTTATTATTTATTTTATTTTATGAACACTTAAATTAATACTTTTTTTTAGTACTTTTAAAGAATTTCGATTAATTATTCATATCCTTATCTTTATATATATATATATATGTAAAAATGAAATATAATTTTTTTATATATAAATTTTTTTTGTGCCTTTTCATGGAGTTTTTGATTTCTTATTCAAAAAGTCCAAGAAAAGTATCTTAAAAGCATTGTAGTTATTTTTTTTTTTTGGTAAAATATGTATTTTTTCTTGTAACTTTTACAATTTTTTTACTCTTAACATTTTTTTAATTCATCCATATTTGATGGGTTTTGAGAAAAATCGTAAATGACGTCTTTCAAGTATTTTATAACTTTTTTTTTTAACATATGTCATTAGAGAGAACATTTTATTTAAAACATCAAAAATATATTTATATATTTATATATTTAATAAATAATTTAATAGGTGATATGTTTAACAAATCGTTGGAAAATTAGTGGCTTTTAGCATATAAAACAATCATTAAATTTTATAATACATTTATAAATAATTTTTAATTAAATTTTAATTAATTGAAAATTAATTAAATTATTTACTTTAAAAATGGAATTATGGAAAATATTTCTATTTATGTATTTCACTGTAACTAATTAAAATCCTAATTTTTAAAACAATTTTCTTTATAGTGAAAATTATTTACTATTTAGAAATAATATTTTTTAAAAATTGAATTAAGGTGACGTCATCTATGAATATATATTTCAATTCGAACCTATAGTGTAATTTAGATATACATATCTATAATTTTTTTTTTATTTAGCGTTTTAGAGAATTATTTCGATTGAAACACATAATCTTCCTTATCAGTCTTATTTTTATCAGTCTAATAATAATCAAGTATCATTAGACTGATAATATTTTTTTTTTTTTTTTAGAAACGTGTAAAAAAATTTTATTCCATAGAATGGGAAAGAAATAATAGATTTTATCATCTATAGATTAGTATTTAATTTAAGTTTTTAGAAATGAAAATTCATTTTCAATTACATATTATTTCTTAACCATTTTTGTCATTTTTTTTTCTTCATCAAAACAAAAATAAAATTCGATATAAAATATTGTATTTCAACTCATGTATCATTATCCAAAAAATCATTTTGAAAAAAAAAAAATTATATACATTACTTATATTAGAGTTTAAAATTAATAATTAAATTACCTATATAATTTTAATTATATTTTGGCAGAAATGGTTGAGAAAAAATATGAATTTCATGATTTTTTGAAATTTATCCTAAAAGAAAATGGTCTTACAAAAAATTTATCGCTTTAAAAATATTGAGTTTAACAACTGCGCAGGAACTATTTCGAGACTTTGTCGCACTTTGTTTAAATTCGGGACACAATATGAATATTTCTCAAAATCCATGAAAACTTTTTTAATATCTATTTCCATAAAAAGAAAATTGAATTGAGATTTTTATTCTTAAATTTAATATCATTGTTTTATATAGTTGAAAATTTTGAATTAATTAAATTTTTTCCCCATAAAGCATTTTCTAATTAAAAGTATTTTAACACTAATTTTTTTCTAAAAAAAAACAGGCAGTCCCATACATGTCCCATAAGTGTCCCAAAATATTTTCAGAGTATTTATAGAAACGATCAAAAACAGAGTTTTAGTATGGGACAGTACTGGTCCCTATACCTTTGGCTTGCTAGACAATATATTATAATTGGATTACTTGAAAATCTCTTTTGTAATAGTTTCTAAATATTCTAAAAATATTTTTTTGGGGACATTTCTGGAACATGTAAGGAACTGTACTTGTCCCTTAGATTTTCTATCCGAATGACAATATTATAGTTTGATTGCCTAAAAATAACTTTATATTATATTTTTTTAATTGTTTAAACACGTTTGGGACAATTGTGGGATAGTTTCGGGACAGTTTTATGTCCCTAAAACTGTTGACTTTAACTTGAGAATAAATTACATTCTGAATGCTTAAAACTTTTTAAAAACATTCAGGTACTTTACTTTACTTAAAATCTCAATTTTTTTTTATTTCGTTCACCTTTTTTATTTTTTATCTCAAAAACTATTAATTTTGGCGAATTTTTCTATTAACATTTTTTGTTCGGGAGGACTTTAGCTACAAAATACTTCAATTCCAGCCATTTTGACCGGGCCTGAAAAATGTACAAATAAAACATTGCTCTCTGTGAGAAGGTAGAGTTTAAATCTTTTTTGGAATTTAATCTCCATTATTATTTTTTTTTTTGAAAGGCTTTTTTTTCCAATGGATATTAAATTCGACCAATGATGGAAAAATTCGAAACCTTACCTTCTCACAGAAGATTTTAATATTTAAACTCTACCTTCTCACAGAAAGCAAGTCTCCCATTCGTAACTTTGCAGAATTGTGGTTTTTGATCTTTTAAACAGAAAATATAAATATCAAAATTAAAAAAAGTGATCAGAAATATACGAATGGAACCTTGCTTTCTGTAAGAAGGTGGAGTTTCAATCTTTCTTTTATTTGGCGAATTTAAGCTCCGTGTTTTTTTTAAAGGCTAGAATTTAGGTCTAAAAATGAGAACCTTGCTTTCTGTGAGAAGGAGGAGTTTAATGTCGAATATTTCTCGGTCTAGTTAGGTTTGATTTTTTTCACTCTACTTTCCACCTTGATATTTCCGGTTTATGAACATTATAAACTTCTGTGAGAAGGTAGAGTTTCGAATCTTTCTATCATTTATCGAATTTAATCTCGATCATGTTTTTAAAGGCTAATTTAGGTCTGAAAATGAGAACCTTGCTTTCTGTGAGAAGGAGGAGTTTAAAGTCGAATATTTCTGTCTAGTCAGATTTAATTTCTTCAGTCTAGTTTCCGCTTTGATATTTCCGGTTTATGATCATTATAAACTTCTGTGAGAAGGTAGAGTTTCGAATCTTTCTATCATTTATCGAATTTAATCTCGATCATGTTTTTTAAAGACTAAATTAGGTCTGAAAATGAGAACCTTGCTTTCTGTGAGAAGGAGGAATTTAAAGTCGAATATTTCTGTCTAGTCAGATTTAAATTTTTCACTCTACTTTCCACCTTGATATTTCCGGTTTATGAACATTATAAACTTCTGTGAGAAGGTAGAGTTTCGAATCTTTCTATCATTTATCGAATTTAATCTCGATCATGTTTTTAAAGGCTAATTTAGGTCTGAAAATGAGAACCTTGCTTTCTGTGAGAAGGAGGAGTTTAAAGTCGAATATTTCTGTCTAGTCAGATTTAATTTCTTCAGTCTAGTTTCCGCTTTGATATTTCCGGTTTATGATCATTATAAACTTCTGTGAGAAGGTAGAGTTTCGAATCTTTCTATCATTTATCGAATTTAATCTCGATCATGTTTTTTAAAGACTAAATTAGGTCTGAAAATGAGAACCTTGCTTTCTGTGAGAAGGAGGAATTTAAAGTCGAATATTTCTGTCTAGTCAGATTTAAATTTTTCACTCTACTTTCCACCTTGATATTTCCGGTTTATGAACATTATAAACTTCTGTGAGAAGGTAGAGTTTCGAATCTTTCTATCATTTATCGAATTTAATCTCGATCATGTTTTTAAAGGCTAATTTAGGTCTGAAAATGAGAACCTTGCTTTCTGTGAGAAGGAGGAGTTTAAAGTCGAATATTTCTGTCTAGTCAGATCAATGTTGCCCGAAAATCAATGTGGCGTGTGCGGGGTCCTTTGGAAATTAACTTGGATTTTGGCAAAAATTCATACAAGTCCCTTCGATTATTTATTTATTTATTTATTTTTTTTACGAGTAAACTGTACATTTTTACCAGACTCATGAAATTATTCCCTAAAAAATCATCATGAGTTCAATTTTTTCAGTGTTTCAGATTGAATTTTTTTTTTTAATTCAGTTTCTAAATTCGTTTCGCGGAAAATTAAAACTTATCCGTTTTTTTAGTTTATATTCCCCGAGTCTCATTTTTAAGTATGTTACTGTTTTTTTTTTTTTTTTTTTAAATCGAGTCAGTCATTTTCGTACTGATTCCAAGCGTAAAGTGTATGTGAAGATAAGGGTTTTAAAATTTGTTTTTTTTTTTTCGATATCAGCGTACAAATCGTCCACCACCACAGAGTATCCTTTTGAAGGCCTGTCGAAATTCAGGGCTGAAAATTGTATAAATGACAGGATTTAGAGTGCTATTAAAATAGCCAAGCCATAGGAAAAAACTGTAAACAACAGGTGGTAGCTGTAAAGATGTGAAAAATGTTTGAAGCAATGTTACCAAAAAAAATGGTAACCAACAAGCAACAAAGGCACCAGTTATAATAGCCAATGTTTTTGCGGCTTTTCTCTCACGTTTCGCCTCTATTGTCTCGCGTGTTTTTCTCGTTGACGATGTTGTTGTTGTTGTTGTCGTTGTCGTCATTGTTGGGACAGGTGTTGTCTCTGACGATGGCGCCAACGATGTTGTTGCCAATGTCGTCAATGTTGCTGCTGTTGTTGTTGTAGTTATTGCCACTGTTGTTGATGTTTGTTGAATATTTGCTCCATTATAGGACGATTTCTCAGGTGAAACTGACGAATGATCGGGAATCGCACGTGTTATTGTAAAGGCAGTGCATTCCTCTCTAGGACTAGACAAAAAAAAAAAAACAAATGCCCAATAAGAAAAATTAAAATTTGACAATTTCTGGGACATTTAAATCAAAAAAATTACAATAATTATTTAATTTCCACTTTAAATAGAATTTGTCACCGTAGAAAAAAATATATCGAATAAATAAAAATTTCTTTTTTTTTTAAATCGACAAGTGCATTTGTGGTAAATATATAAAAGATAAATTTTTCCATTATTACAGTTCACTTCCATTTCTATCAGAAACTTTGACGTCAATTTTCTCGCGCTCACTGATGATATTTGTTCGTTTTACTTTATAACTAAAGGCAAACTTAAATTGACTTATCGTAAGATTACTGAAAGTGACTTCAATGCACTGAATATGAATTAAAAATGATGATTCAACTCATCAAACATTCGACAAAGAAAAAAATAATTACGTTTTAATTAAGAAATTAAAAAAAAAAAAAAATTTCTAAATATTTGTTTTAAATATTTTAAAATGAAAAATGTTTAATTTTTGTTATTTTATAAGACAAAATATTTAAAAAGTAATTATTTATATAATTAATTCGAAAAATGTTAAAAAATAAAATTTTTCTATAGTTTTGAATAATGTTAATTAGAAATAGACTGTGAGTATGTACATTAAATAATTAAATGTCCTCATTAAAAGGCTTTTATCGTTGATAATTCTACTATCGAATTTTAATTGAAAATAACGTTTTATCAATTTAATTAATATTTAATTAATTTACGATAGCTAATGAATATCAGATACGAAGTGAAAAGTAAATAAAGAAAAAGAATACAAAAATTGACGAAAATAATAATATATATATATATATATATGCTTTTATTGAAAGTTAAATTTACTAAATTTGGTACATTTTGCTTTTGTTATTATTATTATTATTATTTTAATATTATTATTAAATTTTTAACTTCAATTACCCATTAAATGGCAAAATTACTTTTAACCTCAATAGAAATTCGTTTATATATATTATATAAATTTAAATAGGCGCAATTGTTCAGAAATTGAATTCAATATAGAATGAAATATTAAATTTAATTTATTTTTCACCGAAAGTAGATTTTATCACTGATTTTTCGCTTTTGTTTCGTTTAGAAAAAATTAATTAAAAAATTTTTTTTTTTTTTTTTTTTTATTAAACAAAATAAATTTTTTTCTATTTAAAAATTTTTTAAAAATAATTATATTAAACATTGATTTTATATACCTTTTTTTAACGAGCCTAAGAATTCCTCTTCTTTCGCGAGGAGGTTGTATCGTTGTTCCAGGCCTTTTTCTAATACGTCTTCGTGCTGCCTGAAATATTTTCCAGTAGAGAAATAAAATAACTAACAGCGGAACATAGAATGTTGCACAGGTGGCAAAAATCTGTAACATAAAATTTTTCCAGATTCTTTATTAAAAAAAAAAAAAATTTTCATAACTTCTATTTTATTATATGAAGAGAAAAATTTACTTTTTAAATAATAAAAATAAAACAAATTTTTTAATATTAATTTTTAGTTTCATTTTTTTTTTTATTTTAAAAAATAGCAAGAGCTATATAGTTATGGTAAATTGAGAATGGATTTTTAAAATAAATGTCGGCAAGATATAAAAGGGGATAAATTTATATATATATATATATATATATAGGAATCGAGTTTTATTTTGAATAAAACAATTTTTAACAAACAGATATATATACTTTGAAAAGAGAGACGAGAAATAACGACATATCGTTAAATCTACACTTTTATATTCTCTTCTCTGAAGGGATGTTTTATAGTTACCGTAAAAAAGTCAATTTAACTTTGCTTTTGGTTAGAAAAGCGAAACGATAGTGGAACACTTGAGAAAAAGAAAATGTAAGTCAATGAACGATAATGGCGAGAGTGCGCTAAAAATATGCAAATGTACGAGAGTGGTTTCGTCAATTGAAACCTAGACCTCGTTTGCGAAAGAATATTTTTGCATATTAGAGATAAAAACAAATATTCTTTTTTTCATAATTTATACATACATTAATGACAAATCCCTCCCACATTTTTTTTTTTTAATTTTACATCAATTTTTATTATTAAAAATATTTAAAATTAAATATATTTTATATTATTATTATTATTATTATATTATATTATAATATATTGAATGAAAAAAAAAATTATTTTTTTTAAAAGATTTTCCGGGGTTGGAAAATTCACTTTAGTCTCGATTAGAGTGCTTTCTCGATGGTGGAAAATGAATGGGATGAAAGACGATAGGGAGTGTAAGAGACAAGTTCCGGGTTGGGGGAGGGAAAAGGGGATAACATTGACGAGAGAAGAAGTTGATGGCCCGGGACGAATGAATGACGTGACACTAATTCGATCAAGTCTTAACTAACATTTGATGCGCGAGATTATCAGGCCTTCTCTATCCTCGGTTAATCCACTAAACGCTAAAGGGGCTTCTTCGTGAAACATGATCAAAAGTTTCTTTACTTTTATTGAGTTTCTCGATGTCAGCTACTACTCTCACAACTTATTCTCTTTCTCTCTTCTTTTTTTTTTTTTTTTTTTTTTTTTTGCCTCGAGAATTTTAAGTTGTGCAAAAAGTTGAAACTTCAAGTTATTTTTTTATTCAACTTTTCAAATAGACGACACTTTAAATTCAATGCTGCGTTTTGCCAAAAAAAAAAAAAAAAATTAATTCGATACTGTATCATATCTTGAAAATTATTAATAATAATATTAATTATTATTATTAATATTATAATTATTAATAATAATATTTAATATTAATAATAAGGATAAAAAAAATGTTCAATATGTCTAATAAAAAATTCATATAAGTTTTATGAATAACTTATTATGAAACTTTATAGTTAATTATTTTTTAATTTCTTTAAATTCAAATTATTGAGAAAATCAAAGAATAGGATGGGGCTTAATTAACTAAGTTTCAGAAAGGCTTTTCGCTTATTTACATAACATTATGTATATTGATTATGGTAATTAGAATATACCAAAAGGATTACTTTAATGTTTAATTAAACCTACCCTATATGTATTCTTTTGTTTTAAAATACTTTTTTAACTCCCAAAAAAAAATTGCTTACAAATTTCGTATTATTGACTAATCTAGAGAAAATTAAGACTAAAAATTTTATTAGTAAAAAAAAAACTAAAAAATTATAGTAAATGTGAGAGACAATTGTGAAAAAAAAATCGTAAATAAGAGAGAAAAAAACGAAGGCTTTCACAGGGATAAACAAGATGTCATAAAATTCTAAAGAAAAACCCCGTGAATGAAAATGGGCTATTGGAACGAGCCATCGTATAAATTTTCACTATTTACCTTGGACTCACAATGAAGGACAGAAAATTCCTTGTGAGAGAAAATAGTTTCAACTTATAAGATTCTATTCGACATAAAGAGATATAGAAAAAAAAAATTTTTTTCCCTTTCAATTGTTTTCGATTATATTGAGGAAATATTTATTGAAAAAAAAGGGAAGAAAAAATATTTACATTTTTTTATGCAACAATAAATAAATGTATATAATATTAAACGATATATTACTCACCTGATAAGCTGGATCTTGAGAAATTAGGCACTTCCCTTCGGCAATGCGATCCAAATAACCGGGATCCTTCCAGCCGAGTTGAGGTGCCAATGAGATTCCCAAGGAAACCACCCACACGGCCACTACCAGGAATCCGATACGTCTTGGATTTCTCGACTGGAAAAAAAAACAAAAACTTTTCTCTCGTATTTTTTCAAGTATTTCTATTTAATCATAAACAAAATAAACAGAAAAAATTATAATCCAAATCCATTTAAAAAAAAATAAAATAAAACTCAAGCAAATAATAAAATTACATAAAAAAAATGGAAACTAAATTCGTAGAAATAGTTTATTTAGAAAAAACTGGGTTACATTAAAAAAAAAATGTCTTGAATGAAAATTTATTAAATTTTTTTCCAAAATAAAAAAGTGCGCTTATATTGTGAAAAGTAGAAATTTTTCTTAACCGTGGAATTTTCGCACATAAAATGTTTAACTCTTGCTTTTGATATCTCGTCGTATATGGAGAGAAGGGAGGGGGAGTGGGTTAAAAAAAAAAAAAAACGTTTTCAACAGCCATTTTCACAAAGAACCATTGAAATAATTTTCTTTGATATTTTATATAAAAGTTAATGAACTAAATATTTACTGCCCGAGAACCTTTCTCTCTCGCATGTACACACGAGAACATGATTCAATTTGCCGGATCACTTTATAACATCAAAATAAAATTACTTTTAATATAAAATTATCATATATAAAAATCGTAAGTAAATATAAAACTGCGCTCTTAAAAAAAAAAAAAAAAAAAAAAAAACACATAAATCAGAAAAATTACAAAAATTATACTAATAATAGTAATAAAAATATTAATAAATAACAGACAAGAATTATATAATAATAAAATGCTTGGTCTGTCCTTCTGTCCTAACTTGAAGTTGGCCTTTTCTGATTTCATGTGTTTTTTTTGAATAGTAATCTTATGACGTGTCAAATTTTGACAATTCTTTTTCTCATTTTTGCCAAAGTTGTATAATTGTGTTTTCAAATTTCGGAATAAGTTTCTTTAAAATTCCAAATTCGAAAATTCAATTCACGAAACTGAAGTACACAACGTTTATCAACGAAATTTTTTTTAAAGTTGTATATTGATTCAAAAATTGTATACAAATACAAAAAATTTATGATGAGAAAAAAGATGCGACAGGAAATTTCGTACAAGATAGTAATTTGAAAAAAATTTATTTTTAAAAATTAATTTTTAAGGTACCAGGGGCCAACGAATACATATTAAATATTAATTATAAAAACACAGGCCTCGAATCAACTTAAAGACACAAAAAGTCGTTTTAGTCGATTTATATTCCAAAAAAAGTGGATTTGTTTTTTATTTTAACAAAAATATTTTACAGATTTTTAAATAAAAAATTTTTTTTAATAATAATCCTTTTCGAAGGGTTAAAGTTGAAATTTTGAGAAATAATTAAATTTCAAAAGATATTGTTAATTTTCAAACAATTATTAAATTTTACAGAACTAAAAATAATTTATCAAACAATTTTTGGAAAACATTTTTTTAAATGTAATTGAATTTTCAAAGATTTAAAATTGATATTTTGGAAATTAATTGAAACTTTAAGTGATTTTTAATTAAAATTTTAGATGATTTCACTAATTTATTAGAAAATGCGGACAAAATACAAAAATTTAAAAATCATATTTAATTGAAAAATGGTTTCAGATAGCTGAAATTTCAAAGAATATTATTAAAATAGTTAAAAATAATTGAATTTCCTTAGAGTTATAATTAAAAATATCAAATTTCAAAAAAAAAAAAATTTTCGATGGAAAATTTTAGAAATAATTAAATTCTAGATGCTTTTAAATTCAAATTATTGAAAATTCAATTAATTTTGAATTCAAATTTTTGAGAATAATTAAATTTTATTTGATTTTTAAATTGGAAAATAATTGAATTTCAGTTAATTTTGAATTGAAAATTTTGGGAAATAATTGAATTTTAATTGAAATTTTGGATAATAATTTAATTTAAGTTCATTTTTGATTGAAAATTTGGATAATTAATTTTGAATAGAAATTTTAGAAAATAATTGAATTTTATTTCATTTTAAATTGAAAACTTGGTAAATAATTAAATTTTAAATTGAAAATTTTTGATAATTATTGAATTTTAATTGATTTTGAAATAAAATTTCGGGTAATAATGTTTATTTTGAATTGAAATTTTTAAAAAATAATTCAATTTTATTGTGATATTTTTTTTTAAATTATAAACAATTGTTAAATTTCATAAAAATTTTAATTGAAAAATAATTTTGATATATAATTGAATTTGTGATGTATTTCATTAAAATTATTAAAAATAATTAATTTAGTGAAGAATCATTTTAATTCAAAATATGTTAAATAATTGAATTTCAGTTCATTTTGAATTGAAAATTTTGAGAAAAAATTGAATTTTAATTGAAATTTTGGATAATAATTTAATTTAAGTTCATTTTTGATTGAAAATTTCGATAATTAATTTTAAATAGAAATTTTAGAAAATAATTGAATTTTATTTCATTTTTAAATTGAAAACTTGGTAAATAATTAAATTTTAAATTGAAAATTTTTGATAATTATTGAATTTTAATTGATTTTGAAATAAAATTTCGGGTAATAATGTTTATTTTGAATTGAAATTTTTAAAAAATAATTCAATTTTATTGTGATATTTTTTTTAAATTATAAACAATTGTTAAATTTCATAAAAATTTTAATTGAAAAATAATTTTGATATATAATTGAATTTGTGATGTATTTCATTAAAATTATTAAAAATAATTAATTTAGTGAAGAATCATTTTAATTCAAAATATGTTAAATAATTGAATTTCAGTTCATTTTGAATTGAAAATTTTGAGAAAAAATTGAATTTTAATTGAAATTTTGGATAATAATTTAATTTAAGTTCATTTTTGATTGAAAATTTCGATAATTAATTTTAAATAGAAATTTTAGAAAATAATTGAATTTTATTTCATTTTTAAATTGAAAACTTGGTAAATAATTAAATTTTAAATTGAAAATTGTGGATAATTATTGGATTTTTAATTGATTTTGAATTAAAATTTCGGGTAATAATGTTTATTTTGAATTGAAATTTTTAAAAAATAATTCAATTTTATTGGGATATATTTTTTTAAAATTATAAACAATTGTTAAATTTCATAAAAATTTTAATTGAAAAATAATTTTGATATATAATTGAATTTATTATGTATTTCATTAAAATTATTAAAAATAATTAATTTAGTGAAGAATCATTTTAGTTCAAAATTTTTTAAATAATTGAATTGAAGAAGATCTGAAGAAGATCTACATTTTATACTTAAAAAATGTATTCTATTTACATTTTTTTCAAATGTAAAAAAAAAATTATTATTGATAATATTAATCTTTAATTTCTTTATAACAAACAATCAAATAGCCAATTTGACGCTCTTGCACGCGTTTAATTTTACTAGTATAATAATAATGAGATTAAAAATTATGACCATTTTTATAGAGCGAGTAGAATAAGAAATTTTGAAAAAAAAGAAACTTTAATTTTATTGACATTGTGAGAAATTCATAGAATGATCTGCCTCTATTAATCGAACAGTCAGAACTATTGCGAAATTAATATCCGTCCAGGGGTAGAGAATAGTTTCACCATAATTCGATTCCATTTCCTTTCAAGCTTGGCAATAAATCTATCAAGTTTAGGACTAAATCAATTCAAAGTCGAGTAATCATCCTCTGTTCCGTCTAGTAGAATTATATCCAAATCTAAACTGTTTTAATGCTCAATTAAGAGCTGCTTTATGCGCGAATTAAAATATTCTTCTATATATATATATATATGCAATAAAATTATTTTAACAATCATGAAATAAAAAAAAAAATTATTGCAATACTAATATTATAATTGTATTGAAATTTTTTTTACATTAAATATTTTTATAATTGATTTGCAAAAAATCAAACTAATTTACGAAGATGAAAATGTTTATATATAAAAAAATAGGTGCGCGAGAGATTTTGAGAGATCTCAGTGACCCAAATAGAAAATTTACGCCTCGCTGAATTCGTCACATTTTCTACGGATAAAAAACAAATCCTGACAGACGCAATTCTCGCCACAGCTGTTGTGAAGTACTTATCGTCGGGCAGGATTTTAGTTCTTTTCAAATTGGAATATTCCCCAAACAATATTTTCATTTCACACTTTCTTTCAAGTTAATTTAAAAAAAAAAGAAAAACACGTTTTTATTCAAAAATTATTTTCTCAGAAATAAAATTTATATAGAATTTATTTTCCTTTGAGAAACTAAAGTTATAAATTAATATTATTTTCTATTCATTAAATATTGTATATAATTTAACATTATTTTTATTATAATTAATAATTCAAATAAATTGTATGAAAATTAAATATTATATTTAAAAAAAAATTAATAAAATTCAATGCAAGCTTTTAAAAATACATAATTCTTTCTTTTTTTTTTTGCAGGAAGAAAAACCAGCCGCAAATAACCTTTTTATTCACTATGCAGCCTTCAATCTTTGGTAAGTAACTCTCAGTCCATAACATCTTTTCTTTATCTCTAGACAACAATTTCTAAAGAATTTTTACATCTCTCCCTTTCTCTCTATTTTTTTTTCGCTCTCTTTCTGATTCGCAAACACGTGCAAACAACAAAAGTTTCTGAGCCACAAAAAGAGTTATGAACCATGAATCCTCAGGAGTAGCTTTTCTCAGACAGGAAAACGTTGACGGTTCAGAAAATGCATCGCTGCTTTTCTTTTTCGTCCAGCAGATCTTATGCTATAGCTAACCTCACCCCCCCTCCCCCTACCCTATATCTTACATTAAAAGAAAAAGAAACGAAATAATTTTCTTTTTTTTCCGCTCGGTATATTATCTCGGCTTTCCAATATTTATTTTTTTTTTTTGCAGCCATTTAAGAAAATAAAATTCCATAACAAAATTGTTTTTTGGAAAAATTTTTGAATTATGTGGGGTAAAATCTTAATTTATTTAAAAAAATTTTATTTATTTAAATTTATTTACAATTTAAACGTGTTTACAAATAAAAGAATTTTTTTCAGTAAAAATAGAAACAAAGTTAGTTTATATTAAGAAAATTTCTATAAAATATTTTCTTCTTTTATTTATTATAAATTAAAAGAATTATCTTTTCTTTTGAAGGATTTTATTGCCATTTATTTTTTAATTTGTCACAAAATATCCTCTTAAGGATCAACTCTGAGACGTAATAGAGTTATTGTAGAAGCGACTTATCGCTATTCTTTTTTTTTTTTTTTATTTCCTTTTGCTTCAATTAAAACCATCCATTTGGCGAGTAGAAGTAGTCTTTTAATTAAAAGTGTCGCGCACTCAAAAGAAAATTCGTCAAACTAATTCAGTGATCAATTATACACGCTCGAATTAATAATAAGAGTGTCTAATTATCCTACAAATAATTCAGAGATTATTCGCTTAATTAACTTGAAATTTTTTTTTCCTTAAATTCCCTTTTTTTTCGTGATAAGTAAATTTTCAAATATCAAATGTAATTTAATTATAACTTTATTATATAGATTCTCATTAATTGCTTGATTTATTTGATGAAAATTGAATTAAAAAAGTGAAATCGATTTCTCGAAATCACGGAATAATTGCATTTACAATTTGATCCCTTTATTAAATAAAATAATTAAATTAATACATATAACAATAAAAATAATAAATAAATAATAAATATAAATATAAATATAAATAAATAAAATAGAATCAATAAATCAAATTAAAAAAATATAAATTAAAAACTGTCAGCTTATTATAGAATGAATTTGACACTTAAATAAGATTTTTCTATTTTTTGTAATAATGTGACAAGTTGATATTATTATTTTTTTTTTTTTGATATAAACGAAATCAAATAAGGGGGATATATCTGGATAAAAAAAATAAAAAATGGATTTCTTTAAGTAACAACAAAAATGAAATGTCGAATTTTATTAGAAAAACTGATTTATTACCTGTATATAATTGAGATCAGTGACAGCCCAATATCTGTCAACAGCGATAGCCACTAGATGCAATATTGAAGCTGTACAACACAGGACGTCACTACTGGTCCACATGTCACATAGTTCTGGGCCCAGAGACCATCCCGAATTTATCTGAAAAATTAATATAATTATTCCTATATATTAATTATTATTTTATTTTATTTTTTTTCAAAATTTATTTTTTAATTATTAATTGATAACTTACACAAATAAATTTAACTGGAAAATTAAAATTTTTAATTAATTCATTAACTGGAATAAATAATAAGACATTTATTGTCTCTGTTATTTATATAAACGCCAGGCTAATGAATTAATTATATACTAAATATTATTAATTAATGAGATATTAATAATTGCTCAACAATAGTAATTTATTATTTAATAATTATTAATTAACAAAAATTAATTAAATTTATTTAAATTAATAATTAATTATTAAATTATTATTTAGTTTATTTATTTAAAAAAATGTTATATCACTCAGAAAAAAATTTGTTTGAAGCAACCAAATTTTGCGGTTAAATCAACAAAATAAATGCATTGATATACAGTTAACCAAACATTTGGTTGCATAAACCAAACGTTTATTTAGCTCAATTAAATATTTTCTTTGTTCAAAAAATTTATTAAAATAAACATTTAGATCAAATAAATATTTATTTGAATTAAGAAAAATTTTGTTTGAACTAATCAAAAAATTGGGTAAATATAAAAAAAAAATGGTACATTTGGTTCAAACATATATTTTTTTTCTGAGTGTAATTCGAAAATTAGATTATTTTTGAGAAAGCGAAATCTTAGTTGCCGTGTGACAGATAGATATATTATCTTTTTGGTGTGATATTTAGACAACACATGGCGCGAACATTGAACAGTACCAAAATCTAGATTGCATATATAATTTTGATATATTTTCGTGTGAGATAATAAGCATGCCATATTTCACGCAAAATTCAATTCAGTTATACCCATCTAGTCATATTTGGACGAATCACTCTATGGATCTGTCAGTTACAGAGAGTGTAACTTGTTGAAGCATTGAAATGGAGAACCAAATCATTGAATACGTACATTTTAATGAAACTGATATATGATGAAAGCTTTTAATGAACTTAATGTCGCCAACAGTTTTTCCATCTCTCTCTCTCTCTCGTCAATGAGAGTAACATTTATATATAAAAAAAAAAACCTCATAAAATACTGATATCCATTTAATTTAAATGTCTCATATATAGGAGGGTGAATGTATACCAATTACTGTGGATTGAAATCGAAAAAGACCACTTTTAAAAATGTAGAAAAAAGAACGATATTTTTATGTTTACCATTTTTTTTTAGCTTTGGTAATAATTTTTTTTTGGAAATAATTATTAAAATTTAGGCATAAAATTTCAAAATAAAAAAGAGATATTTCATTATCTTATCCAAAAAAAAAAATATTTTTTTTCTGTACTAGATGAAACTAGCTTACATAAATGAAAAATGGGGGAGAATTAATAAGATGATTACACAATGATTATGAAATCATTCTTTTATATTTTAATTTTAAGGATAATTTTTTTTTTATTAAATATGATAAAGAAAATTTATTTAAATTTTCAATGAAATAGAAATTAGTCTTTATTTAAATGAGATTCGTTGGAAACGTTTCCGGAACACTATAAATATATATATATATAGGAATCTCAATCTCTCCAGAGAAGCGGAAACGTATTTATTCATTTTACCTTTCTCGATAATCAATGTATGTATATCATCTGCATACGTATAGACATTTCTTTCCATCGTCATGACAATTCATTTCGATTTTAAACGAATATATCTTTTTGTGAGAAAAAAAAAAATTTATTCCTCCATTGAATTACATTGGAAAATATTTTAAATTATAATTTTTTTACATTTTTACTATTTTAAATTATCTGTAATTATTTTTTTTTCAAATTTATATTTTCCTTTTTTGAATTATTCTTTACACTGAAAAAAGGGTTTGGTATTAACCAAATGTTTGGTTGGTATTTAAGCAACAAAAATTTTTTTGTTGAATCAACAAAATTTTAATTGTCTCAATCAAAATTTGTTTGACACAGGCAAAATTAGAAAAAAATGGATTTTTGTTGTCCTAACTAAAGTTTGATTGGGACAACCAAAATTTTGTTGATTCAATAAAAAAAATTTGGTTTAAATACCAACCAAACGTTTGGTTGTAAAACCCTTTTTTCAGTGTACTTTACATTAATTTTTATTTTACTTTTGACTATTTTTTAATTATATAATTCTTACATTTCAATTATTTACTTTTTGTTTCTATTTTTTTACATTTTTTGTTTTCTTTTTTTCTTTTTTTTAAACTATTTTTTCACTTCTTTTTACTAATTAGAATTTAATTAATTATAAATATTATAAATTAATTAGGAATTATTTATAGAAAGTATTATTATTATTATTATTATACTTTTCCAATTGATTTTATCGTTTTAGTCAATATTTGTTTTTTGTTCATTGTCGTCGTCGTAAAAGAGGAATCTTTTTTTTTTTTTTTAACGAAAGAACGACTTTCTCTCTCTCTTTCGCATTTTTCGCGCAAATACCTTTATCGCGACGACGTATTTTCATTTCAATTAGTTCTCCGCTGATCATGGACTTAAGAAAAAATTTATGAGGGTCACGATTTTGTGAAATGGAAAATCGATGCTCAACGATCTGGTCTTATTAAATTCGAGACGCGTTTCTTCTTCGTTCCCGATTCATTGCTCCTGACTCGCCATTCTCCCTCCCCCCCTTTTTTTTTCTTTTTTAATCTCACGTGAATTAGTATATATGGAAACACGGAGAATTCAAGTGTTTGCATAGATCAGCCTTTCATCCCTCGCATACTTATACAGGATTAGTAAATTCTTACTGTACAAAAAAAAAAGAAAAAAAGAAGACAAATTAGAGCTTTTTCTCTTTTCTAGTTTCATTAACTTTGCACGAGGCAAAATATATATTATTTTCAAATCGAAACGAGGCGAGGAAAGAAAAATAGAAAATTCTTTATTCTTTCCATAAATATTTGCCAAACAGTTTATTAATTTTATAATAGATTTTTCAAAATTGTTTAATCATTTTTTTTTTCTAATTTTCTTTCCATTTTTCTCATTTAATAAAATTTGGGTATTATTTTTTTATACGTGTAAATTAATATATACAATTGGCAGAACCAATTGAATGTATTTTGAATATATATGTGTGTGTGTTTGTGTGTTTATCATTTGTGGGGTTTCAATACGTTCACAGTGCCATTTCGTCAAATCCTGATTGAGTTCCTTTTGCCGCGAGATTCGATCGATTGAATCAGCAAGGATTTCGAAAACTTTGCCCGAGAGCGCATTTGTGTCAAGTAACAATTGCTGCCCAGAGCGATTTGCAAAGTTACTTGATTTAGAAAATACTGACAAGGGAATCCCTTTTCAAATAGCTTAAGGTTCATTGGTTAAATAAAATAATATACCACTCGAGAGTGACAAAAAAAAAAAAAAATAATTTCCCTTCACTTATTTTTTTGTTGATTAAATATTTTACAATAAAAGAAAAACGATTTTTAATTCAATTTTTTAAAATTTTTATTTATTATTTTATTTATTTATTATTGTTTTATTTACTTTTATTTATTTATTTTATATATTTTTTTTATTTTTTTTATTTATTTAATTACTTATATTTGTTTATTTTATTCATTCTATTTTTATTTGTATTTTTTAATTAATATATATTTTCTCAAATTCCTAAAAAAAAAAAAATTTCAATTTCCTATTTCAATCGAATTCAATTAATTTTATAATTAAATTATATTTTTATAAAAAGGAACTTAAAATTAATGTAAAATTTTCTAAATATCCTTTTTCCTTATTAATTTAAGAAGCAGAGATCTTTAAATAATATAGAGAAAGGTGTTCTAAAAAGAAAAGAATTTTTTTTTTAAATTTACCGAAATCGAACGAAAATTTAATAACCAATATCTATTCTTATTTCTCGAATTGAATATTGAAATAATGCATCAGGTATAAAATAAAATTTTCAGTTAAAGAATTTTATTATAAAAATATAGGAAAATTAATGCAAAATAAATTATAAATATAATTGAAACATTTTTTTTTATGTCTTTCAATATCGTTAATTTTTTAATGTCTTTTAAAATATTTAAACAATTAAAAAAAAAATTAAATCACTATATAGTATAATTCAATTTTAATCCAATATTATATTGAATTGCAGATAATTTTTTTTTTTTTGCGGTAAAATTCTTGTCATTTTTTTTCTTGAGGAGGGAATATTATTATTTTCTTGAACACTTTTATTGAAATAAGAATAGAATACGTCTGTTATATATATATATATATATATATATATAAATATAAAGGTGAAATGATATATATTTAGTGTATTCATTTCAAGGAAAAAATGGCATTATTAATGTGAGAAGGGTTCCCATTGAAATCGAAAATAGATATAGGTCTATACTTTACGCCCCAATCTTCGTTGCCATTTATTATATAGTTATCGCCTCGATCTCGGATGGACGAGCTGGATCGAAAACGAATTTAGCAAGAGCCCAGCATCCGTCCCAATCTTCTCAATGTGCCTTCTCTCTGTATCATTGCCAGCAATGGCTGGAGTTTCTGTCTCTCTCTTTTCTCTCTCTCTCTCTCGCTCTCTCTCTCTTTCTTTAGCATTACTTCATTTTCTGGTTAAATCGACATCTCACACCCATTTCCCAAGAGATGATATCGTCAATTCATAGAGGATAGCGGATAAAAGTACCCAACATACGAGTGGTACAAATCATAAATACAACAAAAGCTCAAGGGAATATATATATAGAGATGTGTGTATATATGGAAGCCACCCATATGTTGAACGGATGCTAGAAACATAATCCGGAAATAGGGAACCATATTCGAAGCGAAACGTCATTTCCTTCATCATCCCTCTGCGCCTTTACACCTTTGGCAATACTCACCTGTTAGTATATTATATATAAGATCATGTTTTTCAACCCTGGCTTCCATCTCAATATATATTTTCTCAACTTTATGTCTTCTATATATTTTTTTTTTTTGCTTATTTGA